TTTTTTGTGAGATGGAGTCTTGCTCTGTCACCCACGCTGGAGTGCAGTGGCGCCATCTTGGCTCACTGCAACCTCTGCCTCCTGGGTTTAAGCAATCCTCCTGCCTCAGCTTCCCGAGTAGCTGGGATTATAGGTGCCCGCTACCACGCCCAGCTAATTTTTGTATCTTTAGTAGAGACAGGGTTTCACCATTTTGGCCAGGCTGGTTTCGAACTCCTGACCTCAGGTGATCTACCTGCCTCGGTCTCCCAAAATGCTAGGATTATAGGCATGAGCCACTGTGCCCAACCCTGATCAGACTTTTCTTTGTTTAGACGGAGTCTCATTCTGTCGCCCAGGCTGGAGTGCAGTGGTGCAATCTTGGCTCAGTGCAATCTCCGCCTCCTGTGTTCAAGTGATTCTCCGTGTTCCACCTTCCAAGCAGCTGGGACTATAGGCGCATGCCACCATATCTGGCTAATTTTTGTATTTTTAGTAGACCCTGGGTTTCACCATATTGGCCAGGCTGGTCTTGAACTCCTGGCCTCCCAAAGTGCTGGAATTACAGGCGTGAGCCACCATGCCCAGCCCTGATCAGATTCTTCAGAGAGGAATCTTCCAGCCTCTTGCCTGAGTTGGTAGTGAAAGTACAGAAGTAGGGGGAAAGGGCTGGGTCTTAACATTCCACATATAAATGTCTTCATTATTCCCCCTAATATCAGTACAACATACTATTCAATTGTACCTGTTGTCAAAGTTCAGATACCTTCTGTTTTATGCTCTCCAGAAAATAACTCAGGTGTCTTCTGCCAGGGAAATGAAAGAGCAGTCACCTAGCTCTTCAAGCTAAGTATAGTAATCTGGCGAGCTAACTGCTTCTTTGCTATTCTTTGAACCAATCCTTTTTTTTTTTTCCCTTCAGTCAAGTGTGGCCTTGAAAATCTTACTGTTTTTCATCTCAGCTTCACCACTAAACACACACTTACTCATTCCAGCAATACCTGGTATCACCTATCCCTGAGCTTTTTGGGGATTCTGACGTATAAATTGGGTTGCACCTCTTATCTTTCCTTACTGACAACCTAAGATTTAGTTTTTATGAATCTCCTTAGTTACCACTCTCTTCTGACTTAGTTACAAAAATTGTGGTGATATACTCTTGGGTTCTTTTTTTTTTTTTTGAGACAGAGTCTTGCTCTGTCACCCAGGCTGGAGTGCAGTGGCTATTCACAGGCATGATCCTCCTGCTTCAGCCTCCTGAATAACCAGGACTACAGGCATGCCACCATGCCCAGCCAGTTCCTGTACTCAGTCTACCTTCTTTACTTGGTAGATCATAGCCTCTTTTTTTTGAGACAGTCTTGCTGTCTATCATCCAGGCTGGACTGCAGTGAAGCTATCATGGCTCACTGCAACCTTTGCTTCCCGGGTCCAAGCAGTCCTCCCGCCTCAGCCTCCCAATTAGCTGGGACCACAAGCATGTCCCACCATACCCAGCTAATTTTTACATTTTTTTGTAGAGATGGGGTTTCACTATGTTGCCCAGGCTGGTTTCAAACTTCTGGGCTCAAGGGATCCTCCTACCTCAGCCTCCCAAAGTGCTGGGATTACAGACATGAGCCACTGCACCCAGCTGATATGTAGCCTTTTTATTTCTTCTGAGACAGTGTCTCACTCTGTCGCCCAGGCTGGAGTGCAGTGGCATGATCTTGGCTCACAAGAACCTCTGCCTCCCAGGTTCAAGTGATTCTCCTGCCTCAGCCTCTGGAGTAGCTGGAAATACAAGCATGTGCCACCACACCTGGCTAATTTTTGTATCTTTAGTAGATACAGTTTTACCATTGGCCAGGCTGGTTTCGAACTCCTGACCTCAAGTGATCTGCCTGCCTCAACTTCCAAAAGTGCTGGGATTACAGGCGTGACCCACAACATTTAGCCTCTCATAGCCTCTTTATAATAAAGCCTCAGTTAAAACTAAATGGGGAGATCTTTTTGAATTATTGAAAAATTTTAAATACCTGTATGTACAGTAACAAGTAAAGATTCTTAAAACACCTCACAATAGGCCATTATTTGTATATGTTCCCTAATGAGAAA